ATATATATATTCGAACCCAGATTGATATACATTGCAAAACTACTATCAAATTCAACAGTAAAGATCCTCCCATGACAAAGAAAAACTGAAGAAATTCATGACCACAAACCAGTTTTACAAAGAGAACTGACAGATATTCTAGAAAAAAAAAAACAGAAGTAATCACAGCTTCAAGAAGAACAAGAAGGAACTACCAAGCAGAGCAAGTAACTAAAAAGAGGGAAAAAGTACAGAATGTATAGCAGGAAAATCAGATGATAAAGAGAAGAAAATAGGTATCAGTTATGACCATCTATGTAAAAGGACTCAATTTACCATTTAAAAGAAACATACAAGAAAAGCAGATGAAGAAACAAAATTGAACAATATGCTGCATACAAGAAATACATTTAATTAAAAGGAAATACACAGATTAAAAGTCAAAGGATGGAAGACAATCTTCCATGCCACAAAAAATTTGTTCTGGTTGCTTACAATATGAACTTCAAACCAAAAATATTTCCAAAAGATAAAGGTCTTTATGTACTTATTCTGGGAAAAATGCAAGAGGAAGAGATAACTGTTATAAATATATAGGCATACAACATAAGAGCAAGCACCTACATAAAATTTTAACAGAAGTGAAAAATCAAATGATCAATAATGCAGTAGTTATGGAGGAATTAAAAACACCACTATCACAGATACATATATCAGATCCAGTCTTAGCCCAGGCCCAGTGAGTGTGTGGGAGAGTTTCTGGCTACCCTGCGCTGGCGGAACCTGCCGATCCAAGCCCAGCTGCAGTGTGGGTGAGACCCTCTTCTACACTCTTGTGACTCCCCACCACTCTGAAGCACCCCCCTCACTTCACCCACCCAGTAAGAATTTCTGCCCCATTCTGGGAACACCCAGATCAAGTCCTAGATCAGGTCCGGAGAGTGTGTGGAAGACCTTCCTCTCCTCCCCACTCCACCTTGTCCCCTCCAGACTCAGCTCAGGCCTGGCATACAGGCATGGAGTGAAAAACTGCAGCTGTAATCCCTGCAGACAGTTTAAGGGACAGAACCACACAGCTAGTCCAGGAGAAGAACATCTTTCTTGAGGGCCACAACAGGTTCACTCCCAAGGGCAGGAGCAGGAAGTAGCTGAGCACAGCAGTCCAGACCAAAGCCAGGCACAGCTGGATAAACCCAAACTTTGTAGATCTGCACATGAATTTCAGTAGGTGCTAAGGTTATAACTGAACCAAAGCTCTACAACAAAGGTCACAAGAAATTGCTACACAAAATCACAATGAGGAGGAGCAAACTGCAATCTCAGAAATCAAGTCCACCCATAACAACTGCAGAGGACATGAATACAGAACAAATTGGGAGTCACACAGCTAAAATCAATAAATCAACACCTTCTGAAATAAAGAAACAACTGCAGAAAGATACAGAGGAACTCAGATTGGAAATGAAAAAAGAAATCCCTAAATTAATAGCATCTGCAGTAAAGAATCAAATGCAGAAAAATATGGAGGAAACCCAGTGCCCACCCAGAACAAGTGCAAAGGACACTAGCTCAGCTCAAATGTATGAATTAATAGCATCGATAGTAAACAAGCAACACCAGAAAGTTATACAGGAACTCAGAGCAGAATTCTCTTCTACTATCACAGCTCAAATGTATGAATCAATAGTGTTGATAGTAAATAAGTAACAGCAGAAAGTTATAGATGAATTCAGAGCAGAATACTTTTCTCTAATTAAAAAAAAACTTTGAACTCATAACATCTAAAGTAAAGAATCAACTACAGAAATATAGGGAGGACACCAATCTGAAAAAAACACTGGAGTAGAAGAAGTAATAACTGATTCTAAAGAGGACATTGATAAAAAAATTAGAGATTAGAAAAATGATGGATTCCTTGAATGAGCAATACAGGAAAGAAATAGATCACATGAAGCAAAGGCAAAGACCTATAGAGGATCTTAAAATCTCAATCACAAACTTGCAAAACCATCTGAGAGAAAGGGAAGACAGAGTTTCAGATCTTGAAGATGCTGGTGTAGCTAGTGAAAAGGTAAGAAAAGATCTCTTAAAAGCAAACAGGATGCAGGAAAAAATAATTCATCACTTGCAAAATGACGCAAAGATGAACAAAGTGAGAAAAATAGGTATCAATGAGAAAGAAGTAGTCAATACAAATGACATTTAAAAAATATGGGCAGAAGTAATAGCAGAAAACTTCCCAAATATGAAGAAACAATCTGACATTCAGGTAACCGAAGCCTACAGAACGCCAAGTAACCTCAACCCAATTAAAAACACACCGAGGCATATAATAGTCAAGATCCACGAAATATAGCTCAAGAATAATATACTGAAAACTGCTAGAGAAAAGAAGCAGATATTATTCAAAGGAAAACCCAGCTCAAATGTATGAATGTACTAGCTCAGCTCAAATGTATGAATCAATAGTGTCGATAGTAAATAAGTAACAGCAGAAAGTTATAGATGAATTCAGAGCAGAACACTTTTCTTTAATTAAAAAAAACTTTGAATTCATAACATCTAAAGTAAAGAATCAACTACAGAAATATAGGGAGGAAACCAGAATTATGGAATCAGAATTACAGCCTACTTCTCTTCACAAACCATGAAGGCAAGAAGAGCATGGAGCAGAGTACTTCAAGTCCTCTACGAAAACAAATTCCAGCCCAGACTTCTATACCCTGCAAAACTCTCTTTCAAGTTTGATGGAGAAGTGAAATATTTCCATGACAAAGAACAACTAAAGAATTTCAGGATGACAAAGCCAACCCTAACAGGCTACAGAAAGATGTTCTAGAGAGGGACCAAATTGATCAGAACTCCACGAATGAGATC